CGGATTATGTTCTCGACGGTTACGGAAGGGTCGACGTATGAGAAGCAGAGAGTGTTGGCGACGAAGTTGAAGGATGGATCTGGGAATGTGAGTTTTGCTGTGTCTTGTGTGTTGATCTACGTTGTGATTGATGGGTGATAGACTATCGGAACTTTCATTCGGACACCTCGAGGCTCGGATAAGTTGCTCATTGGAGATAATACTCCAGTGAACAGAAAGACGTGGCTGAAACCTGGACGGCCGTTCACTAAAACGTAAGCTCTCTGTTATCATTCTCTGAGTGCACCGTTTGATTTTGTCTCGATAGGCTAGGATCCTTCACTCACGACGACGTGGAGTATAAATGGGTTTCAGTCAAAGATCCTAATCAAGTCACCTTAGAGGTCCGCTCGCTCCTTCATTCCTATCAGCACGCGCTGACAAGTCCATGATATCCACAGCTCCGCGAAGAGTCCTCCAAAACACTCGTAGCGCGCTATCAAGATTCCCGACGAGACTGGTCCATCCCTCTTCCAGACTTCGTAATCCACAGAGCGAAAATCGAGATTTACGCATCTGGTTTACATATGATTCATATGATCATGTTTTCTTTTATGGTAACGGAGCTTGTGAGGAGAGATGGGTCTGTTGATGTGATGGATATTGTTACTGCTACTGGGAAGGCTGGTATGGAGGGGAGTATGGCTGCTTTTACGTTCTAGGGGTTTTGGGTTTTGCTTTGATTGTTGCGCTGTAGATTCGATTTTCATTTATACCCTGTACAATTATAATACAAATGCCCCCTGAGACGGCAAGACGATGAAAATTTGTTGATGCCTCCATAGAAAATTTTAGGTCTCATCTTCAACTCATGCGCGTCAACACGACCGTCCAATATTTTCCAATAAGATTCTCACTCGCTCGTCGTCAACAAGCTCATCGGCGCTAGCCCTAACATCAACCGGCACATGCCGAAACGACACGATGGCCGACTCATTCGCAGACCTCTGGAATGCATCTGCACCCCCCACATCCAGCTCATCATCCTCATCAAAGCTCCCATTAACCCAACAAAAACTCCCACAACAACCTCCCCACAAGAAATATGACGCTTTCTCAATCTTAGCCTCCTCAGGCTCTAATACACCTCGTTCCATCACGCCGGGCACAGGTGCATCTAGGCTTACGCCTCCTGTTGCTGCTGCTGTTCAAAGTCAACGTTCGGGAGACGCGTTCAATGATTTGTTATCGTTTGGAAGCGGGAGTGGGACGAATACGACTACGACGAGTCCGAATAGGAATTTGAGCCTTGCAGATCGTCAAGCGAAATTGTCGAAAGTTGCGCTGCCAACAGTCACGGTGCAGGGCTCGAATAAAGCCTCTGATGCGTTCTGGGATCAATTCGGCGACTCAGGCGCAGGTGCAGGTGCTCAAGGAAGTGTAGGGGGGTCTCAGCAGGAAGATGAGTGGGACCTTAATCTTTTATCTGCAAAGCCTGCCCCCCTTCGGTCCTCATCGGCTTCCCCATCTCCATCGCCTTCGCCACTACCCCAGCCAGCACCTACACTTGCCCAGCCAAGTTCATCAGATCCATTCGACTTTGACTCACTCGTGTCATCTTCTACTCCCGAGCCGAGGGCATCGAACCGGGGTGCCGATACATTGCTGGATGACACGTTCGGTGAGAACGAATTTAGCGGAGGGAACGGGAACGAATATGGAGGAGAGGATGATGGAGATGATATCCTAGGTCTACTCGCGAAACCCGTCTCTCAATCTCGTCGAACACCATCCCCATCCCCATCGCCACACACACTCCCCATCCCCTCTTCCCAAACCCAACGCCGAACTCCATCCCCCCAGCCCCCCTCTCGAAAAACCACGACGCGACCGATATCAAGGGCCGCAAGTCCACCGCCTCATATTATAGGTCAAATTGTGGAGATGGGATATTCACCTTCACAAGCGCGTGTTGCGCTCGCTGCTACGGAGAGCGGTGTGGACGTGCAGGGTGCTCTAGAAATTCTACTCGCGCAGGCTGGATCTGGGGCTCCAGCCCAAGAAAGAGAACGGGACAGGGAGCCAGAATCAGAGAGGGGGGCGGCGCGATATGGGGGTGGTGATTCGGATAGCGAGGAAGAAAGAAGAAGACAAAGACAGAAAGCACGTCGTCAAGGGCCTTCGAGATCTTCGGTGGAGCCTTCGAATGCATCACATTCTTTGCGTCAACAAAATTCATCTCAATCCCAAACGCAATCCACCACCGGAACCGGAAATCTAACGGATCTCCTTCCCCCCGAACTCAGTGTTCAAGCTGATAAACTTCTCAGTCAAGCGACCGAGCTCGGGAAGGGGATGTTTAATCGTGCGGGTGCATTCTGGAGAGATGGACGACAGAAGGCTATGAAAGCATATGAAGAACGAGCTAGGACACCTGGCTCTGGGGACCAGTCGAACTCGGGTTACGGACGAGAGGGTAACGGAAACGGCAATGGGGGTGGGAAGAGGCCGGCGTGGATGAGTGGTGGCGATGGTGACGCTGATGTCGGCAGTCCTGAGGGTGGTGCTGGGGGAGGAGGATTTAAAGACGACTCAAGCTCGGATGATGAGAGGTCGAGGCCGGAGAGTATACAGAGTAGTGCGAGCGCGAGTATGACTCGTCTGCCTTCAAATTCGTCTTCTCGGCCTCCGCTTCGAGAACCACCTCCCAGTCGATCACCTGCTCCTCCTTCTGCTCCCGCTCCATCGGTCTATAAATCCTCTCTACGGCGGGGGCCGACACCGACAGCACGACAAGCATCTTCATCTTCTTCTCAATTCCAGCTCCCATCGCAAACACGGCCCTCTCAACCCATCCTCCCACCTTCCTCCTCCTCCTCAAAACCCTCCCGCCCCCCAATCCCCGCAACACCCTCCCAAATCACCCTCTCCACCCAACACATACGCACCGCCCAATCCCACTCCACGCAAGGAGCATACTCATCAGCTTCCGAATCCTACACCAAGGCTTTAGCAGCGTTACCGGAAGGACATGTGTTGAGTGTTGAAGTGCTTATTGGGAGAGCGAAAGCTAGGGGGGGATGTGGGGAGTCGAGAGGAGTGGTCGAAGACTGTAGTTTGGTTCTCGGGATGATCAAAGAAGGTATATCAGCGAGTGAATGGGCGAGTCTACCCGCTCTTCCTTCTCCCGGAAGCGCCGGACCTGGATCTGGGAATGGATCTGGGAATGGAGGGCCGAAACGAAGATTAGATACGGTGGAGAGTGAAGTGAGAAAACTACGGGCGATGGCGTATGAACAGATGGAGAAGTGGAAGGATGCGAAGGATGATTGGGAGAAGATTGGTGGGATGAATGTCCCAAGGGAAGTGGATCAGGGGACGAGGAAGGAAGCTATTGGTGGTGCTGGGAGATGTCGGAAGATCCTCGCTCCTCCTCCTCCTCCCGCTTCTGGCCCTTCCGCACTACCATCATCTTCGAAATCGAGACCAACGCCCAAACCAAAGCCAGCGAATCTATCCTCCAAAGCTCCTGCGACTTCCTCCTCATCGAGTAAACCAAGCGAAGCAGTCGCCCGACTCCGCGCACAAGCTTCCCAAGCCGAATCCGAATCCAACCTCGCCTCATCCCTAAAAGACACCGTCGACGCCCGTCTCGCTTCCTGGCGCGGTGGCAAACAACAAAATCTCCGCGCTTTACTCGCGTCTCTCGATCTTGTCCTATGGGAAGAAGTGGGATGGAAAAAAGTGGGGATGCATGAGCTTGTTACGGAAGGGCAGGTTAAGAAGGTTTATGTTAGGGCTATTGCGAAGGTTCATCCTGATAAGGTTCGTCTTTTCCTTTTCCTTTAAGTGAGGTCAATTTGATGGGGCTGATTGGGTTGATGCGGGTAGTTGAGTGTGGGGAATTCGACGGTTGAGCAGAGGATGATTGCGAATGATGTTTTTGGGACGTTGAATGAGGCTTGGATAGCTATGCAGGGGTAGTCTAAGAACTTGGGAGCTTAAAGTCGATACTGTGGAACGGGCATTGTTCGCGGGTTGGAGTTCGTGGTGGTGGGAGCTAGCTGCTGGATGTCGATATGGGGTATGGTATATGGTATATGGTATATGGTATACGTATTCAGAGTCGTATGGTGTGTCGTTAGATTAAATTAGAATTAGATGGAGGGATATACATGATACGATACATCAGATGATGCTCGAAAGTGAAGACTCGAAGTCTACGATGCGATGCTCTCTCAATATCCATATTGATAGCGCATATTTGATACCGGTAGTAGCTACCATGCATGCATGTACAAACCAGCCCCTCCGAATCGGCCTACAGCTCAGACAATTCCTTATAGTTACTCGAGTATACCGTACCCTCCCCGCTTCGCTCAAAGCTTCGCTCGTACGGTATACTGACAATATGAGGGTGATTGAGATGTAGATTGAGATGAACTTTGAGCGACAACACCGACAAGACTGACACCGACACCGACACCGACACTCGATACAATTCAACAAATCAACAAATCAAATCCAACTCGATGTACGTGTAAGTTAGGCACTGGCGACTCGTGACTGGTGACTCGTAAAGTATGATAGCGCTAGCAGTCCGCTGTCATGAAGGATGGAGGATGACATGACTTCCGATTCTTAAATTCAGTTTCTTGTGAATGCGACGAAAGGTCTGTATATTAGTATTGGGATCCCTTGAGAGGAGATATCGTTTTGTACGTGTACAGTGTGGTTCTCGTTGGATGGAGCTGATCGACTTGAAGTTATACTCATGTTCATCGTATTACTAGTAATAATAATAGTAATAAAAGCAGTACGACTCGCAATTGCAAGATAAAGAAGCGATCAGGTTGATATATATCGACTGAACGTTACTTCTATACGCAGAATGAACGTCGTACACTAGTATTGATAAAAAATGCTCAAGCTCAAGCTCAACCAAAAGAATCAAACCAGCAGAACATGAATATTGCTCATAAGTAAGCGATGGGAAGGCGGAAATTGAAACTGGAAAAATGTGTCCGTGCTGTGAGTCGAACACAGGGCTCTTCGGGATTGCGAGACCACAACGAAGTGATTTAACCACTAATCGACACGGACGCTTTCTCGTCTTTCCCTCCTTCTCTTTCTAGCCTTATCCCCTCCGGACGGGTGCTATCTCGGTATCCAATAAAGAGACCGTTTAACTTTCAAGATCAGCTGGATCAGTCCCACGATCGGTATATGCGTATTTGGTCGGTGGAGGATACCCCTCCGCAGGACGGGCATATAGCGACGCGTATCGGCGCTTAGACCGCTAAGAGCTTGCTTTATCCCCCCTCCTCTCTCCCTCTCAAACGTTTATACTGAACGTTGTATCTGAACGATAGGAACGAGGATGACTGTGAGGACAAGATCGCAGAAGGAGATCGACGTGTTTGCGCTTGGACGACTCGGAGCGGAGGCTTATGATCAAGCTCAAGCGCAACAGGTCACTCAGGATGAGATCAGTTCGTTCTTTGACGGGATCGGATCGAGCGCTGGTCTTTCTCTACCGTCGACGTCTGGGTCTGGCGATGTAGACCTGTGTGTGGGTGTGAGCGTGTTGGGGACGGGGCTGGAGAGTGCAAGTGCGAGTGAATGGCCGAATGACTTGGAATGGTTAGCGAACGAATGTCCCAGTCAAGCGACATCTTCGTCTTATGGTTGGACTTACAGACTAGAACCTCAATTAACTCACATTTCTTCTATCAGATTTCGATGCGCTCTTTGCGTCCTGCATGTCCGATTTCCCTGTTGCGATCCCTCCAATCCCTACATCGTCGATCTCTCTCCCTCCGATGGCTTCGACTTCGACGCTGACTTCCTGTGATCCTTCCCCGCCGTCATTCTACTCCTCACAATCCCATCAACAACCCTCTTCATCAACACCATATCACTCACCAAGTCCCACACCGTCCAGAGATTCCCCTCATCCCTCTCAATCACAGTCACAATCTAAATCCCAACCGGGCACGGGCGGTCGCGTAGATAAGAAACGTCTCCGCTCCGAAAAGCGTCTTCAAGTCGAAAAACGCTCACATCTGAAGAAGAGAGATGCAGGGAATCAACTTGTTGCGTATATCAAGGAGAATGTTCCGCAGAGTGAGGCGGGACTTGTGAAGGGTGTTGCGGACGCTGCTACCCGCGCTATAGAGATGATGACGTATGTTTTCCTTCCACCTTCATCTTTTCACCATCTGACTCTTACCTTCGATAGTGACTTGAAGTGCGTCCCCCCCTTCTATATCGTTTCTTCCTTTATCGATCTGACCCCTCTCCCCCTTTCTCTAGAGCCCATACAAAACTCGTCGTCTCACAACTCGCAGACTCAAATACCCAACTCGCCCTCGAGCTCACGCGAAATCGTGAACTGTCCCACCGCGTCCTATCCCTCGAAGCGCTCGTGAGGCAATACCACATGAGCTCACGACGGATCCCATTGCCGGTTCGCCGAGAAGAACAGGTGCAGGTACCAAAGCGAGAAGAGGACTGTGATGGGATTTTGACGTCGACGTCGAGTGTTCGTGGGGAGAGTGTTAAAGAAGAGGATGTGGAGAGTAAGAGTAATGTTCTGTGATATCTCTTTGATTTGATTTCATTTTTGGATTGTATTTCGCCTGTGTACGTCATGGACACTGGGCTTGCTATTATCTTCTTTATTCTTCTTCCTTTTTCTCTCTTGCATGTTGACATTGTTGTGTCGTGTTGTCCTTGTCCCTGGTTCTGTTTCCGTTTTGTCTTGTTCTGCCTTTCTGTTGCTGTGGTCTCGCTAAAATAATATCCCTTCTTGGATCTTTGTCTTGTATAACCTGATGTTGTAATGACATCTTTTGAAAATCTCACGTATCTGAGCTTATATACTGCATTGTGTATCCGCGAATGTCTTCAAGATGCTCAGAATGGGCGTGTTGCCTTACTCGCGGGACCAAATAATTTTACATGGACAATTGCCGGAGCATTTTGACCACTAATATTCCTCTGTCTAAGATTTCTTGGGGCAGAGAACAGTTCGGCTTCAAGGCCACATGTACATTTTGTTCCATATTTTGGTGAACCGGTGAATGGACAAAGAGCTCGAGACCGATTGAGCGCCTAACTCTTCGACCAAATGGTAATGACGTAATCACGACGCGCGGTGCCCTTTACCCTTGTCGAGTCTTTCCTGCTTCACGCCGTCGCTCATTATCAGTCTGCTCTAGATAAATTCAATCGATGTCTGGTGTGGACAGAGTCAAGCCTGATGTCCCTGCTAGGTTAGGAGATCTGCCTAAGTTCTGTGAAAAACTCAAGACGATGCTGGCAAACTCAATGTGCGTACCTTTCATCCTTCGCATGATGTGCTCGAGCTGAGGAAGCTTGAAACTCGTGCAGTCATGTCCAGACTCACGATTTAGACGATCTCGATGAAGCAGCCCGCGTCGCTCGAGAAAGTGAGTCAGATACGATCACGCGACACGTTTTTCTCGCTACTATCGATCATCCCATCCACAGCTTTCGAATTCGTCGACTTACGAATTGGAAGAGCTATACAGATTGTCAAGACCAACTTTAATCGAAGAGCACCAGTGGAGCGTTTACACGACGAACTCATCCTAGAGATTCTCAAATATTGCGTGCCATTGAAAGAGAAGAAGCTTCCTTCAGCATTCGCGGTGTACGTCTCACATCCTCTTTCACGATATGTAACTCAAGCTATTCATTAGGTGCGCTAGATGGAGACATATGGCGAACAGTTCCCCAGCGCTGTGGACGAAGATGTACCTGCCTATGCCGCCCGAATGGTATTCAATATTCGTTAAACGTAGCGGAAACAGTCTTTTGGAGGTTCACCTCTCAAATTGGAAGATCCAAGACAACCAAAGTAGTTGTCAATTACTTGGAGAGAACTTACGTCAGCTCGCGCCTCGGATTGCAAATTTGCACATGTTCTGGGTACCAAGCTTCGATCATCACGGCCTTGACAAATTTCTCGCATCTCACGCTACAGACCTAGAATTTCCTGCACTCGAAATCGCTGAGTTCCGCGAATCATCCCCTCGAGACAAGCCTACGATTGTCCTACGCACCCCCGCTCTTCGAAAGCTCACCATGGATATGAATACCAACTTCGCACCAGACGTCATCACCGATAACGTGACCGATTTGAAAATCCGCTCGTCTTCTCAGAAATCGCACGAAATCATACCTTTACTTGCTGGTTTCCCCCAACTCGAACATTGTGACATATTTACCTACTCATTCGACCGCACTTCCTCGATTCTCCCTCCTCCCTCTATCATATCGCTAAAAAAACTGCAGAATATCTCCGTGAAGACCCTCAACGTATCCAGCGCAACCTACACACTGAATTGTCTTGATGTTCCGAAATCTGCGAGAATCGAGCTCGAGGTGACAGACAAGGAAGACGAGTCCGTCGGCCCTCTGATTGGTCCCCGTGTGTTAACGTGCGACGAACTCAATATTGGTGGTGGCGGTTATAGGAAGGTCGTCTTGACTCTCAAATCCGACTCGCAGCCTTCCCTTCAAATATCAGCAAACCATTTCAACTCTGCACTACTCTCCGAACTTGCTTCCTATCCGAGCAGTCTATCCCATTTCCGCTTCAAATATCATGCATTGCCTTCGTCCGATCATCTCACTCAAGCGTTGACCTTTTGGTCCTCTCTCACCTCCATCTGTATATGGACCTGCGAACCGGATTTTGACAGATTCCTCGCCGTACTGTCAACCGACCAACCCACACTCATATGTCCACAACTCGAGTCCCTGGAATGCACCGAGATAAAATTCACCCGCTCTCGAATGCTCGCGTTTCTAGAACTTCGGAAGGTCAGAGGAGTGCCACTTCGAGAATTGAAGACTACGAGAGGCTTTTCGAATCCTGATACGGAGGGGTTTGCGAAGTTGGTGGAGAGTCATGTGGAGGTCGATGCGGAACCGTCTGCGATGGAGCTCTTTTTCAAGGTATTCCCTGGTTTGCGAGGAGTGTGGGAAGGGCAGGGACCGGGTGAGGTGGATGAGCCGGATGATCATGAACTTCATGAAGCTGGGACGGAGTAGGACGAAGCAAGGCACTCATGTTTCAAATTCAGAGAAGCGGCAGAGTGTCGTGTATCATAATTTGTATTATCGGATCACTTCATCAGACCATGATAGGGTATTCGAAATCGTATTGCTAAATACTTTAGTTCAGTATCACGCACGAGTCACCAATGGTGAGCCGAAGAGTGGCGGCGAGCATCTGAGAGTATCAGATTATCCTTGAGAACGATCTAGAGGCACCCTCAGTCCCGACCAATTCGTCACTGGCCTTTAGATAATCGTTTCTGGTTAGTATAGTAATTATGAGTGCAACCGTGTTACGATTTGTCGCGAAGGCGAAAAGTCACACAAAATGCTGGTCTAGTACTCAGCTACGACTTCGCACAGTCAACTTATGAGCGTAGACGAGTGATCTATCCTTCCCGGTCAAGCAGTTTCTCGTCCTCGCATATACCGACAGCATTGTCGGAAATTCCAAAAAAGAGGCCTTGCGCCCGGTCATACTCTTCACCGCAAAGATCTCCTGTTCGTCAAAAGATGTCCTGACTGTTTATGAACACAGATTTTGCCGCTCGATCGTCCAAACCGAACGCGAGCCAAGAGTCCGCAAAGATCGAGAATTGATTTTCCGGAATGAAGAAAAATCGAAAAATTACACTGGAGGGGAATCGAACCCCTGCCACTTGCTTGGAAGGCAAGTATGATAACCATTTCACCACCAGTGTATAGAACACAGGGGTCCACCATAACATCGATAGCTTCTTCCATCTTCGGCGCTACCTACTCGCGACATCGCCAACTCATCGCCATCGGCTGTAATGAATTCATCCCTTGATTCATCCTCAGCAAGCAGTTTCGCTTCACTCTCTTGCTCCCACCACCTTCCTTCATCTGCGCTATGTTATCGACAGTGGAGGAATATGTCGAGGCGCTCTCAACTTATTATGTTTATTTCATTCCTACGTTGATAGGATACATCATTGCAGCTCCTGCTGTCCTCACCGTACGTCCTTCGTCCAGTCTTTTCCACCGACAAG